ATCTGAGCTCTTCACTCACCCCCTTGCTCACCTTGCTTCAGCCTGTGGCCCCCAAAACAGTGTGGCTACAGTGCAGTAAGAGGAAAAGCAGGCTGGGGGTGTGGGGAAGGGGGTGTGTCTTCAAAGCAGACAGGATTTGTTCTTGGAGTGGATGCGGCATATAAGGCTCAAAGACATAACTGGATTTTCTGTAACAAAGGGCCATGGAGCACCTATTGTGTCTTGGCCCCAATAATGGAGACAAAGCAGTGACTTAGGCAGCCCTGGGTCCTGCCCATGCTCTTGGACTTGGAGGTTACAGTGTCATCCATCCATCTATTTCCTGCTCCTCTTTCTGTCTTTCTGTCACTAGCACAGATGACCTTTCAGCACCCCAACTTCCCATTTCCCTCCATATCCAGGGAAGGCCTACTGTTCATTCCCATGTCTCTTTTCATCTAGAGTTACAGTAGAGTCCTCAAAGGGGAAGTGACATTCCTGGACATCTGTCTCTCCCTACTGGCGTATTCTTGAACAAGACTCTTGGCCTCTCAGTGCCTCAGTTTCCTCTTCTGCATCACAGGCACCAAGCTTGTATCTCGCTTTTGTGCAACATGTCTGTGAGGCTATTAAGAAATACTGCATGTTGGAGCAGCGCCTGTGGCTCAAAGGAGTAGGGTGCCAGCCCCATATGCCAGAGGTGGCAGGTTCAAGCCCAGCCCCAGACAAAAACTGCAAAAAGAAAAAAAGAAAGAAAGAAAAAGAAATATTGCATGTCAAGCTAGTCCTGAGTCCTAAGGGACTCAGAGTCCTAAGAGACAGAGAACAGGCCTGTCTTGCCACTCTTGTGATTCCTGGTAACTGGCAAACAGAAGGTGCTTAATAAAGATTTACAGAGTGAAAAAATGAATGAAATACTTCACACAGGGCATGGCCCGTGAGAAGAATTTGAAGTTTGAAAGAGTAAGACCATAAATAAAGCTCCCCTTGAATGTCTGACACATACCAGGCTCTTGAAAAATATCAGATGAATGAATGACCAAAACGCTTTGCTTGGATGTCTCACTAACTGGAGTTATAAGCACGTGCTAAGAAAATAAATAATTGACCAAACTCGTCTTGAGGCTAGCAACCCTCAATATAGTTAATTTCCACTTTACGATCTTGCTGCTCGAATTCTGCCAAAACCCCGTTGTGTATCCACCCGTTTTAAAAGCCCTGATTCCTCAGGGCTTCAATAGAAGCACACAAATCCCAGAGGGGATAACGATAACCCTCATCCAGCCTGGTCCATGTAGTCCAAGGCTCTCCACTTACCACATCTCAGGGTTGTGTTAAAGCCACGGAGAAGGCCAGACCAGGACATTCCGCTTCCTGGAGGGTCTCTATGTTAGGGAATAAGAAATTCAGAAAGTAGGAGGAAAAAGTGATCGTGGTCAAACGAGGGTGCAAATTTTGCCCATCTCTTTCCTAGATTCTTCTGGGTTAAATCTAAGGAAGTTCTTCTACACAATCCCCCATGCTGCTAACAGAATAATGCCTCTGTAAATTTAGTCTCGCTCTGAGCAGGCTCCTGGGGACCCAACTGTCTTCGCCCGCATATGGGAAGAAAGAGGAAATTGGGAGAAAGGGCCAGAAAGTTTGAACGACCCAAAGATTCCACCAACCTCACTTGACCGTAGCGGTTAGATAGCAGAGATGCCAGATCCTGCCTGGATCGCCTTCCGGGGGTTATCCGAGCAGGGATTGGCTGGTTCTACGTTTACGTCACGGAAAAGCGGGGACACAGACGACGATTGGGCAACGACAAAGTCTATCTTGGTCAACTTTTCTCATTGAGCCAGGGGAGGGTATACCTTTTCCAGGGAATGTCTGCTTTGCAATTGGTCTAAACGCGGAGTGGGCGGAGCGAAATGTGTGTGTGCTTTTCTTGTCCCCAGTCCAAGATGGCTGCGTCCACAGTGCGGCTCTTGTGGTCTTTACTGGCTCATCCGGGGCTCCGGCCCCGGGGAAGCTGGGTCTACAGCCAGTGCTTAGGAAGAAAATTCGCTACAGCGAGACGAGGCCGGAACCTCCTGTTCGAGCACGCGCGCGAGGGCTACAGCGAACTACCTCAGCTGGACATGGAGGCGCTGTGCGCATGCCCAGAAGAGGCCGCGCGCGCACTGGAGCTCCGCAAGGGGGAGTTGCGTCCTGCAGACTTGCCTGCGATCGTGAGTGCGCTTGCGCGTTCCGGGGAGGCGCCGGCGGTTTGATTTACTAGTAAACTGAATTTGGAAGATGCGCTCCAGCAGAGGGAGAACTTATTGCAGGAATATTAGTTCCTTCCCAGTTAAGTCAGTGTCTTGTACGTGGCACCCTCTTATGTGCCAGTTGTTTGCTGAGTGCTAAGGCTCTACTGTATGCTACGGGTGCCTTCTGTGTCCTGCACATGACCACACTCCTGTTTGATAATGCTCTCTGGGTGCTTACTGTGGTGTAGGAATTTGCCATTGCCTTCTCATTGAAGGCAACCTCATACCAGCTTACGCTAAAACCACAAGGGAAAATGGGGAGCGGGGTGTAAAATTCAGGCGAGGTCAGAGGTGGGTTGTGGGTAAGCTCTTGCCTTTGGAGAGGGAGAGACAAGGGTTCTGCACCTCCACTGCACGTAGCAGGCCATTAAATAAATAGGGTTATTAAATGAGTGAGTGAGTTTAATGAACGGTTCTGTTGAGGATGTATTTAGCGAGCATCATCCATTATATTCCAATGTTCCAAGTGTCGCAAAAAAGCGGTGAATAATGATAATAAAATCTCTAGCATTTGTATAATACCACATACTAGGGAACTAGTACCGGTTCGCCATATCTCTGTGATGGAGAGCTGAAGATGGTGGCCTCCCAAGCCTTCTCAGCCCTGTCTTGGACTCCCCTGCCACCCTATTCTAAGTGCTTTATACACATTAGCGTATAGTTTTTGCAACAACCCTATGAAGTAAGTGCCATTATTTCCCCCATTTTATCAGAGGGGAGACCAAGGCTAAGAGATCACTTGCCCCAGATCATGCAGCTGCTAAGTGGCTGAGTGGGAATTTTAACCTGTGCTGTCTGGTTCCAGAATCCGCAGTCTTAACTACTCTGCTTGTGCAATCTCATGAGCAAGATGATCTGAGTTCACAGGCAAGTAAAAGAGACATATTTAACATACAATTATAAATACAAGATATACTAATCATAGTTAGTAAGTGCTGTGAAGGCAGAGTAGCGGACAGCCTGGGAGGACTTCACAAAGATCTGTGAATTGAGTGAGAGTTAGCTAGGGGTAAAGGGGAGAAGAGGGACTCAAGTAAAGGTATAAGCATATACAAAAGCCTGGAGATAGGATGGAATGTTCCATTTGGTAGATAGGCAGGTAACAGAAAATAATAAGTGTTGGCAAGAATTGTTGTGGAGAAGTTGGAATCTTTGTGTATTGCTAATGGGAATGTAAAGTAGTGCAGCCACTGTGGAAAGCAGAATGGTGCTTCCTCA